GCTGCCCAGCAGAAAGGGACCTGGGGGTGGTGGTCAGCAGCCATCTGAACATGAGCCAGCAGTGTGCCCAGGTGGCCAAGAAGGCCAACGGCATCCTGGCCTGCATCAGCAATAGTGTGGCCAGCAGGACTAGGGCAGGGATTGTGCCCCTGTACTCGGCACTGGTGAGGCCGCACCTTGAATCCTGTGTTCAGTTTTGGGCCCCTCACCACGAGAAGGACATTGAGGTGCTGGAGCAAGTCCAGAGATGGGCAGCAAAGCTGGTGAAGGGTCTGGAGCACAGGTCTGATGAGGAGCAGCTGAGGGAACTGGGGTTGTTTAGTCTGGAGAAGAGGAGGCTGAGAGGAGACCTGATCACTCTCTACAACTACCTGAAAGGAGGTTGTAGTGAGGGGGATGCTGGCCTCTTCTCTAAAGTAACAAGTAATAGGACAAGAGGAAATGGCCTCAAGTTGCACCAGGGGAGGTTTAGGCTGGATATTAGAAAAAATTTCTTCACTGAAAGAGTGATCAGGCATTGGACCAGGCTGGCCAGGGAAGTGGTGGAGTCACCATCCCTGGAGGGGTTCAAGAAATGTGTAGATGTGGTGCTTAGGGACATGGTTTAGTGAGTTAGGTGGTGTTGGGTTGATGGTTGGACTTGATGATCCTTGAGGTCTTTTCCAACCTTAATGATTCTATGATTCTATAAAGTTTTAGCAGGAACTTATGTCCATGGAAGGGGAAGTCCCTGAAACTGTGTGCCTCCTTCACCTTGCTGTTTGGATGCCTGGCAGTGCTGGTTGCTTTTACTTAGTTGTCAAGACTAACTCCAGTACAACTCCATTTCCTGCTCTGTGCACTCCACATTGAGGAAAACGAGGCCCACAATTAATGATTCTCAAACGAAAGTCCTGTAGCTTGAGTCCTCAGGTACATACTTGTATGTGGCAGTGCAGTCTCCATTTGTTGAGGATTACAGTAGCGCTTAGGAAGAAGAGCCTTTCCCTCTTTCTCCATCTGTGATGGGCTTTCAGAATACAATGCTCTAACCTGCACTGAGAAGCATATAAACCAATTGCTCTGAGCCAGCCAGCATCAGGTCTTGAAGATTTTCTATATTGTGCCTTTGAAATCTATCCTAATACATCCTAAATGTGTTGTGAAGCGAATATAAAAGAATTTAGGTTTAGTTTTAAAATTTGAGCTCTTTTCTAGGTGCAGAAGAGTTGCAGATGGGAGAGGAACTGAGTTGGGACAGATCAGGTGTACAGCTTTTTGCTGTTGGAGAGGGCTAGATGCACTAAAATGAAATACATTCCAAAAGAAATAATCCAGTGCCCTAGTGGATTTAAACACATATAAGTTTGTTATAATCAAAACCAGGAAGAAAGAGAAAGAAAAAAAAAAAAAAGCCCCAAACCCCACCACCCCAACAAATTAACTATAAACCATTGTTTTAGGTTTCCTGGAACATTTTAAAGAAACTAAATAGAGTAGTTGGCTGATGAAATCCAAAGTAAAACACGGTAGGAGAGGTGTTGAAGGTGTTGATTTCCATAGCCAGGTGTTCAGTGAAGACCACTTGATTTTTATCTGGAAGGTCATTTTCACTTTGAAACTTGGAAGGTCATAGTACTACATCTGTTCTGCTTGTCAGTAGGTTTCAAAATGAGGAGGAGGAGTTCTCATGGGCCCTTCTGATGTGCCCCCTCATCCCCCTTTGGAAAATGAACTCTCATTACTAGAGAGGATATAGAAAAAATGGCATGAAAAATTAAATAGGCGAGAGATGTGCTCAGTGTGAGACAATCCAAGTGGCAAGTCTTGATTGCATTATTTAACACCACAATCCGGAATGCTACAGAGCTTCACGTTTTAGTCTGTTATTTCACTGTAGCGTTTCATGTTTATGCATGAACTGCTGCCAGTCAACTGGTGCTTACCTGTCTGCTCTTTTCCCTCATTTTTTTTGTCTTCATTTCTTACAGCAGTCTTCAGCAGCTTTCAAAATTATAAGTGTGACCTTTGTGATGATCTGAAAAGCACTGGCCACTTTTACTCGATGCCTAATCAATGTGGTGCTCTTAGACTTTTGTTTTAAAAGGAGTGACCAGCTTTTTTTACCCATGCTGATTCTTGATGGTTCTCAAAATATCACAGTTGAACTGTTGCAAGGTCTATATGAAGGCATATTTGCTAATAATGCCCACTGTCTATACAATAAACCATTAAAAATAAGAAGTATTATGCAAAAACTACAGCAAAATCCAGACAGGCAATGCATATGAAACTTATTTTCTTCTCATACAAACTTCATTTTCTAGTGGCTTTCTCTAGTGTGTAACACTAGGATATTGTGGGTTCGTTTTTGTTTTTCATGTAAGTATATACTTCCATCATAGTGGGAGTTATACATATGGATCATGGAAAAAGCACTTTCAAAAAGACGTTTTCCAGACCCTTTAAACTGCACAAAATAATGAGGATATATTGCCCATAGATACCTTTTGGTTTTCCCTATTAAAAAGAATCTGTTGTTACTATCCTGACCTTTGGCATTGTAAATCATGGATTAAAGTATCCGGATACTTTATGACTCATAACGTATTTTGCCCACGTAAACAGAAAAGTGGGGTTTTTTTGTAAGAGCTTCAGTAGCAGCTTCTGTAACTTAATTTTTTTATATCAGTCTAAAAGGAACTAACCTTATAGCTTGGCTTCCATCACAATTCTAGAACAAACATTGATCTCATATCAGGTAAATGAGATCTGAGATATTTGTACTGGGTGATTATTTTTTAAAAGTTAAAGCCTTTTTTGATTCTTCTCAAAACATACTTCTTATTGAATGGCATTTTTTTAAACATGTATATGTAGCTTTTTTGAAATTATATGGGAAGTCTTTAGTTAGTTGTAGAAAAACTGGGAGACAGCATACGTCCATAAAGAGGGGAAGGAAGAAAAAAAAGAGCAGGTTTACCCTAGATCTTTATTTCAATTCTGATTTTGCAATTAGTGCAATAAAGAATATGTTTTGAGAATTAAATATGTTTAGAAGTGGAAAAATATTGTTCCTTTCCCAACCAGTAAAAGGGGTGTCAGGAAGGATGGAAAATAATCTGATGTAGTGTTTCTAGATAACAGTAGACGTGAACACCTCCTGTAATGTCTGCAGTGAGTGTGTCTTTTGAGTGCTCACCTAGGTCTCTTTCATTGAGCTTGTACTGCATTCTGTACAAGGTGAGATTCATATGATAGTCCCAAAGATAACTTGTCAGGATTTCTTCTCCTTAACCCAATTTTAGATAAGACAGGAAGGATAGATTCCAGGTGGATTTTTGGGATGCTGAATGAAGCTAAAAAACTACTAAAACAAATACAGTTACTCTCTTGGAGTTCCTCGTACATTGTAGTAGCTCTTCAGAGAATGAAAATTCTTGAGGAGTTGCTACATGAAGAATTTGTCCCGTAGGTGGTGGTGTGCCTATTGAATTCCATATTGTTGTTAAAAAAAAATATATATATTTTTAATATGTTCTGCTGTTTAGATGCCCAACCTACAGAATCTGAAAAGGAAATTTATAATCAGGTGAATGTAGTGTTAAAGGATGCAGAAGGAATTCTGGAAGACTTGCAGTCATATAGAGGAGCTGGCCATGAAATACGAGAGGTGAGCTAGAGCGTTATGTTTGTGCACAACCTGTGGTTGGTTGTTGTCTGATTCTAACCAAGTACTGCTGAATTTTAACTTTGCTTGCAGGAGCTGATTGGCAGAGCATGTTGTCTATTAAAATCGCTGTCTTGAATTTCTGCTCTGGAATGTTCTTTTTTAACAGTGAAACAGATGTCTCTTGTTTCAATAATATTAATGCACATATGTAATAGCAAATGATGCTTCTCAAACTTTTTATGGAATTGTTATTGGTTTTTCTTCATATTCCCACGTAAGCTGCTCTTCAGTTAGTGGCAAGTTTGGAAAGAGGGTGGCAGAACTACAATGCAATATTGGGTAGTGTTGACATCGTTCTGTACGCTAATTGGAGAAGTCTGATGTGTGGTAATTCTAACACAAAAGAGATCTCATTTTCAATCCCTTTTAATTGGCTTTTGTTTACTGAAATAGGTGTTTGGAACAGAAACCAAGTTTCTTTACAGTGTGTCACTCCATTTTTCTTTTACCTTTAAGAAAGGATTGAATAAATACTCTCTCAACCCCCTTCCCCTCTTCCTCAGATGCAATGATGGGGTTACTTTGCTCCAAAACTGAGTTACTGTAACGTACTCTTAAGAAATCCTTGCACATAGGAGGAGTATCTGCTCACTCTAGAGGAATTTGAGATACAGCCATTCAGCTTTAAAGTACCATGAGTTTTTATTCAGTCTCTTGAATTTGTAAGGTAGGTTAAAGGAGTGTAACTGTCACACAAAACCCTTAGGAGGTTATTAGCTTATTTGTTCTTCAAGGAAGGAGCATGTTCAGGGAGAGGCTGTAGGGTCTGGCAGGAATGTGTTTCGGAAACAGAGCCTGCAGCTCCCATGCAGAAGGAAGAGATGCTCCTGAGAGCAGGGGAGACATTGCAGCAAGGAACCAGAGAGGAGTGTGCTGCAACTCACAGCCCAGGGTTGACTGAAAAAGATTTTGGAATCAAGGACTTGACTGTGAAGATGCAGCAGGAGAGTTATGAGCATTTTTATTTGTTTTCTTAGTAATTTTCAGTTGCTAAGTGGTCTGGTTTCTGTCTTAAAAACCTGGAATGGCTGAATTTAAGGCTTTATCTGTCTGGGAAGCTTACTGTAAAGAGAAGGTCTATGCATATATATCTCAGAGCTCGTTCCTACTGTAATATTTAGCCTGAATTTCACAGCAAATTTGTTTGATTTTATTTTTTCTCTGCAAATTCAGAAGTTGGTGTTAGAAACCAACATTAGAGTGAGGCTTTGATTGATAATCCTTTTTGCTTAGAGGTACCCCAATAAAGTTGTTGATTTTAAGTAACTAGATCTGATGATGTCAATTTTCTTATTTGAGTAGCTTTATTTTTAACAATTTCTTTATAATGTCTTCAAGCTGTCTTCCTATTCAGAATACTTATTTTCAACACAAGTGTTTAGAGCTTTTTGGAACAGACATGGGTTAGTACAGGCTTGTGTCTCAACTGGAAACTTCTCTGTAGGTAGAATTTTCAAGTTCTAGCTCCTCAAACAATAGCCCTATGTATATTGTTGTTGTTTAGTATATCAGTTATTCTTAATCTAAGCATACTTTTTCCTCTTTTCTAATTAAGGCAATACAGCATCCCAATGATGAGAAGCTGCAAGAGAAGGCATGGGGTGCAGTTGTTCCACTAGTAGGCAAACTAAAGAAATTCTATGAATTTTCTCAAAGACTAGGTAAGTGGAACGTTATTAACTTGGGGGTTTTTTTGCCTTCATTAATTAGTACATTTGGCATATTCAGATGCGATCACATCTAAGTCAACCCCTTGTTAGTAGATAAAAGCTCATATTGCACAGATTCCGGCTGTACACTGGATTGGATCTTATTTATATGTGAATACTTCCTTCTTGCGTGTGAAAGCAAACTTGCTTCAGTGGATACCTGAGAGGAGAGAAAGAACAGAAGCATGCTTGTCATCCTCTTTCTCAACCCCTTTAATAACTCTGGAAAGCACTGACTGGCTGATTGTTTTGAAAATTAGTAGACTAGTTCGTTGTGAATTAGTTCTGTTAATGCTTTTGATACCAGGGGTAGCTAAAAGTAACTATTATTACCTCCCAAACACCAGAAATAATTTGGTCAGTGGAAATGCCTGATCTTGTTTCATTCAGGTGCAATACTTAAGGTGGCGCTTCATGCCTCTTACAATACCAACTTGACTGATGTTTGGCTAGGCTAATAAAACCTATTAGACTTGATTGATTTGTTCTTTCACAAACTGTCTGTTAGATCACTTTTAGACAGTTATTAGCATATCTCATGAAAAAATGAACTCAAAAGATGGAAGCTTTTTGCAGGCAAGTTCTGCTTTGTTCAAGAGTTGAGGCATTTTTCTCAGGAAGATGAGCAGGAAATTGGATTTTAAGTTTATCTTAAATAAAGCATGACTTCTGCTGATAGGTATGTACCTCTTGAATTCTGTGTTATCTTAAAAGGTGCAGTCTAACACAGGTTATTGAAATGTTTTACACAAACAGTGCAGACAAAGGTTGAATAAAACTTCTCAAGCTTTTTCACGGCTGTCAGTGCTGATTAGACCTAGCCTATACAGCCGTTTGTAAGGAAATATGATAACAGCAGAACATAGAATCATCAAGCCCCTTTATTATTAATTACTGTGTATTTTGGCAGATGTATATTATAAGTCTAGCATGCATAATATCGGTCAGTAGAGATACAAGAAGCAGGTGCGGTTCTATATGGTAAAATAACTCTCCTCTCATTTAAGAGGCAGGATTGCGAGGTCTGTTGGGAGCCCTGACGAGCACTCCATATTCACCAACGCAACACCTGGAGCGAGAGCAGGCTCTTGCTAAGCAGTTTGCAGAAATTCTTCACTTTACACTCCGGTTTGATGAGCTCAAGGTAAGAACTGGTTGGAATTTTGTAAACACAAAGGCCAGCAAAAAGAAAACAAGTCTATTTACTGAAGCAATCTGGGTTGTGTTCTGTTCTAGAACATAGCATGCAGCAGATACTGGAATATCTACTATGCTAGGCTTGTTCACATGAGCTAGAGTTAGATTAAACTGTAAAACAGATTAAATACCTTATTTTCTTTAGGCAGTTGTTATATTTCAGTTCATACTAGTCATGTTTCTTCATCAAAATTCGCCATGTCTGTTGGGATAATAATGCTGCTGCTTTTAGAATGTGCACAACCATAGTCCAGCTATTATCTTGACAATGTGCAAAGAACTAAGCATGAAATTATATTAATTTGCTGGTCTGGTCTTTGGAGTAAAACTAGGCAAAGCCATTTTTTTTCAGCCTACTAATTTCAGTCTCCTGTTTAGGAGACTGCTACTGTTCTTGTTCTTGTTAGATCTTGTTCTGAAAAATCTGAGAGTGTAACCAGAGAGCTTTATGTTCTACATATCACTTCCCAACATGTCACAGGCCTTTTTACTTCAGAAGGGTGAACATTTTCTTGTTCATAGTATTATATTTTATGAAAATTTGTCCTTACACTTTTCTTGAATTTCTCACAATTCTTTTGTTTCCATATCTATATAGATGACGAATCCTGCTATACAGAATGACTTCAGCTACTATAGAAGAACTCTGAGCCGTATGAGGATTAACAATGTCCCAGTAGGTAACCCTTGGATGAGATTAAATGTAATGTTATACTACTACCTATCGTTTTTTCATGTACAGAATAACTAAATTCCTTCTCTTACATAGGCAGAGGGAGAAAATGAAGTAAATAATGAGTTGGCAAACAGAATGTCTTTATTTTACGCTGAAGCAACGCCAATGTTGAAAACCTTAAGTGATGCTACAACAAAGTTTGTGTCAGAGGTAAGAACATAAATTTATGGCTTGGATAGTGTACTTCAAAGAACTGCATGGCCAGGTGTCATTTTAGAACACAAAACTCTTCTACCAGGCTTAATCTGGCATCTAGCAATCAAACTTCATTTTCAGAGCCTCCAGAAACAAAGTATCTTTCTCAGATTATATGGAAGTTAGAGTAGGTTCAGCTAGCCACCTTGCAGATGCGTCACAAAGAGTTAGTGAATACCATTCCCACGTTGGCAGGGATGGCCTTCCTCAAGGAGGGAGGTGGGAGAAGTAAGTATGTTGCCGGCATTTTGGTGGTGATTTAGAGCAGAAACTTCAGGAAATTGATTCTCTGTGCTTGAAATAGGGAAGGGAGTTGAAATGCAACTTTTTTTTTCCTCCTTCCCAAGACACTTTTGTTTCACTGTGTAAAGTCAAGTACACTTACAATACTGCAGAAGAGAATAACCTGAGCTCAAAAAGTATTCCAACATTTTGACACATCCGTATTAATCCTTAATTACCTGAATAAATAGCAGTGGTAAAATCCAGCACTACAAGTATTGTGCTTGACTTCTGATAACTGATTTTTGTCTTACATGCAAAGAATGCACACTGTTTATTAATAAAATACAATTGTACATTACAAGATTAATACAAAAATGCATTTGTCTTCTAATAGTTTTTCCTAAGTTCTGATTTACACTTGAAATGCCTTGAGAAAAATAGCCTCTTATTTTACATTTATTTGAGATGTTTGTCTGCAACAATTTTAAGTCTTACTGTTGCAGCAGATGCATTTATTTGGTTATAAAAATTTCTGTCTTTTAAGAGCAGGCTAGGTGATTCCTTTAAAGCTTCCCAAAAGTCAATAGTGTCAGTGATGTGTTTCTGTTAACTACAAATAAGCAAGCAAATCTCATATGGTAGACTTTGGTCTCTAAGTTGCTAATCTTTATTATAATATTTTTAAAGACCAGTATGAGGCTGCCCGCCTTACCATACTTGTGTTGATGTTTTTGATTTCTCCACATTGCCATGACAGCAGATCACTGATTTGATTTGGATTTTGTAGTATAATGTTTCACAAAAATTGAATTGGAAACTGTTTTATCTTCTTCTGCAGAATAAAAATTTACCGATAGAGAATACTACAGATTGCTTAAGCACCATGGCTAGTGTGTGCAGGGTCATGCTGGAAACGCCGTGAGTATAAACAGTGCTTGTATTGTGTGTGAATCATCTCTGCATTTAAGGCATGACTTGTGATGCATAAGGTGAAAGAAGTGTAATTAGGGTAATCAGGAGTTGTGTTACTTTCTTTTTACCAACTTAGTTGTTTACCTTGACATGAAACTCAATTGTCCCATTTTGTTAGCCATGCAAATCATGCAGTCTAGTTTTCTGAACATATTAATATTTAAAAATAGAATGCCTATGGAAGCTAGACAGCCTCTTGGCACTCTTTACAAATGGTTTTCTCATGTATAATTCAGGAAAATATACTATTTGAGCATGATTGCCCAGAGCCTCCTGAAAGAGGGGTTGTGGGCAATGTATTGGATGGTACCTCCTTCCAAATTGGTTTGGCTGATGGCTGTAGCAAAATTACAGCGCCCCTGTCTGGGGAATTAGGAGATGGCTTTCAGGCATGAAAACAGGCTCTTGTCTACTGGTAATTTGAGAGGCACTGGGAGTATGAACAGAAAGTCAAACTAAACTCTAGGTTTTTATCTGTTTCTTCTGGAATCTAAATAGTTTCCCATTGGTAAAATTACTCAGGCATGAGGTGTGTCTTTTTAAATAAGTTTCTGTCCAAATACCACACTAGATTTGTTTTGGAGCACATTTATATTCTTACCCTTCTTAGGAATGGTCTGTGCCATTCAAAAAAGTAGTTAAGCGTTGTTCGTTAAACTTGCGGGTTTTTTTTGCCTTCCCCCCACCCCAGTCAGAAGTTTTGGTTGCATGTATATTAGAGGATGGAGGGGAAAAGGGTGGGAAGCATTGAAAGCAAAGTTAGTATGTAGTGCTTTAATCCTTTTTTATTTAATTTTAATAAATAAAATACCTGTAGTGGTATAGCAGCAGGGTGCTGTTTTAGTTTTGAGAATCTTTGTTAATCTCCAGATAACTCTTTCTAAGCAGTGATCTGATTTGTAGGCAGGTTATTGAAAGGAAAAAGAAAAACTCTCAAAAAGTTTGTGTGGTTGGTGGGTTTTTGAGTTTTTGTTTGCTTTTGTGTTTTTGTTTTTTCCTTTGGGGATTTATAGAAGCATTTTTATATTAAGTCATGCTTTGGGCGTTACTGGTATGCGCTCTTATCTTATATTTGATAGGTAATAATCTGTGGTTTTAAATTACAGTGAATATAGAAGCAGGTTTACAAATGAGGAAACAGTATCATTCTGTCTGAGGGTAATGGTGGGTGTCATCATACTCTATGACCACGTGCATCCGGTGGGCGCTTTTGCCAAAACTTCAAAAATTGATGTAAGTTATTGTTACTAAATAATCTTTTGAGTATTTAAACTGTGTGGAGGCTCCTTTTCTCTCTGCCAGCTTCTAGTATCAGATGTACGCTGCGGACTGATGCTAAATGGGTAATGGTAGCTGTTAGCAAACCATACACATAAGTAGTGAGAAATGCCGACTAGGCCTTTAGACACATAAATGGCCATTGTTAGGTCATGAAAAATCTGTTTTGTTGGAATTCAGGTAGTGCCTTGAAATACTGGCAAACAGGTGGTTGTGTTGAAAGATCCAGATCAGAACGACTGGAAAGAACAAGGGCATCTAGATTGTTCATCGCTATCTGGCAAAAACCGAGGTTCATCATCCACCAGTCTTCAAGTCCTTAATTTTCTGCTGTTTTCTGATAAGAAGTCTATAGAACACGTGCTATCAGTGTATGCTGGATGTGGTGGTTTCAAATGGACTGTTATCCCATTGTATTAGCTACAGTTTTTCATTATTTCATACTCTGAATGTAATAATTCTTAATGGACTTATGGTAAACAAAGATTTATGTTTACAGTTGCTTTTTTAAGGTTGATAAAGCAGAGCTAGACATCAAAATTGCATTGCCTAAAGATATGAAGATTTTTGGGTAGCTCAGCCATTCTGTCATAGAAAAATGTAATACTGAAAGCTTAATTCCTTTCTAATACCAAAAAAATGTCTTTATACTGCTGCAGTTTTTAAATACTTCTTTTTCTCTCTGACAAACTGAATATAAAACACTTCTGTAACCTCAGAAGGTATCAGTATGAAAAAATCTGTGTGAATTTTTTGACTCCTAGATGAAAGGATGCATCAAAGTTCTTAAAGACCAGCCTCCTAACAGTGTAGAAGGCCTTCTAAATGCTCTCAGGTACTCTTAGTCTTTTACTTGAAATATTTTTATATGAATTTTCTTAAATTGTCCAGGGCATTTCCTTGCTCCCCTTGGTGCAAGGCTGTTGGGTTATAGTTCTGACTGATAATAGCATTTTCTGATCAGAATATCTGACGTGTGTACTTGGTAACTGTGGAGTGGGTGATGACCAGTGGCTGAGGGTTTTACTCTGGTACAGTCAGATTAGAAATCATATATTTGTTAAGCCCAGCAAAATAGCGTCTATGCTTTTCTCAACTTGGTTTTTATTTCTGTGTTTAGGTACACAACAAAGCATTTGAATGATGAGACTACCTCCAAGCAAATTAAATCCATGTTGCAATAACAATTACCTGGAATTCGCACCTGCTGTAGACAGACAGTATTCTGCAATGACTGAGATGCACAGATTTTATTTTTTTTTAGTGATTGCAACTACTATCTCGTTCGTTCTTGCTTTTTATTTTCTCTCTTCCTGTTTACCCTTTTTTTACATCACTTTGTTGTTCTTAAGTAAGCTCAGACTTCTTTTCTGTGCCAAATCAATGAAAATTATCAGTTCTGGAAAGTATTTCAACTTTTCAGAATAGCCATCCTAAGTGGCAGCTAATTATGCGTTGCATTTGGATTTCTCTGTACTGGGGAGAGATTTGTGACTTGAACTAAATATTTTTAAACTTGTGGTTTTTTTCTTTTTTTGAAAAACTAATATTTAATATTGCTTCTTCTGCATGGCAAGACTGCCTACTTCTGCTATTTAAAAATCCCTTGATGACTTCATTTTCTATTGCAGCTTATTTTCATGTGCAACCATGAGGAAACTAAAAGCAGATTTGTTTAAATTAACTGTGTTTGTACAAAATGGTACCCAACACAAAGGTTTTTTTAAATGAGTAAAAACTGTTTTGTTTAAAAGTTACGTTTGCATTTTGACTCATTTTTGTAAGGATGTATGTTGTATGTTTAACGTTTAATAACTAACCTTAAACTGTGGTGTGTGCGTAGCAAAATTGCGTATGCATGTTCATGTCAAATGATTGGCTGTGGATAAGATAATAAAATCAGCTTTCATTTTTCTAAGTGTGGTTTGATTTACCAGTATTTTGAGTGAGATGTCTTCGTGCTCTTTGGATTTTTACAAAAAAATAAATTTATAAATTTTATATAGTGAAAACTCTGCTGTTTCATTACCAGTAACCACTAGAGTCTAATCCACTGATTTAAACCTGGTGTGTTTTACGGCTTGTGCTCTCTACTCTGTGCTGCTTCCCTGTCCCTAGAAACATTACTCATACAGACTTTGGGGGGAAGAACTTTGTCCAGTCCATGTAGATCCCAGTGGACATTGTTGAAGAACCTGCATCTTGGCTACCAGTGTTGAAATCTCAGCAGAGTAATCGGGAATGACATTCCAGATGAGGCTGCCTGTTTGGCTCTTTCTGTACCAATAGTGGGGGGGAGATTAACTTCCCTCTCTCTGAATACTGGTGCATACTCTTGTGGATCTAGTTATTTTGAACTGTGTGTAAACTTTGAATAATCTTAGTTTACTAAGTTTCCTGTTTGGATAATATTTTATTGCAGCAAGTGTTAAGCTTTGATAGGTTAATGCAAAAAATCTTTTTGGGAGGGGAGGAATTGAAGGGGAAAACAAGAATTGCGAATTGCTAGAAAGAACATCTCCAGGAAGTGGCGTGTTTTGCATCAGTGGGCAAACAATTAGTGTACCTCATGTGTGTGGTGCTGTTGTGATTATGCCTAAAATGAGTTGTCGACATTCTGGAAAGGAGATCTGAAACCTGCAGGCAGGCGTGAACACCCTCAGCTTTATTTGCTGGACAAGTGATGTTTTGTAACTTTACATGGCACGCTAGCTCCAAATATAACATACCAGTGTCACCGGGTGGGATTTCTGGTGGACACCCCTTCTGCACCATCAGGATAGATTCTCCTTTTTATCTTTTGTTTGGTTTGGGAAATATCAGATCTGCAAAATTCTAAATCCTGATATTTGAGGAAGAGTTCGAAGGAGGTACAAGTGTGTATTGCTGATACCTGTACCACCTCCTCTGTTAGGCAGGGTGATACATTTCTTTCCTGCCAAAGATGCTTAGTGGAGGAATAAAATGCTCTTGCTTCGACATGGTACTGCTCTTTGGTCCTTCTGGCAGCATCACAGTTCAATACAGCTGAGAAGGGACAAAACTTGATTTGTTTTTTTGTTAAAAAGAAAAAAAAATATTTCCCAGAATTGTATGAATGTTACAAACTGTATACAACCAGCCATTCTGCATGTATCTGAAAGGGTGGCTGTCCTCATGAGTTCATTACTCTAGGAAGAAAAATAATTTTGTCTCAGTTTTGTTACTATGAATACAGTTATTGAATAATAATCACAGGAGGGACAATCATACTCCTGTCCAGTGTTATTTTTTGGAAGTAAAGCTTTCTAAAGGAAATCTGATTTACAAAGAATAGGTTTTAAGCACGATTTGGGTATTTGACAGTTTTTATTTCTGATCTCTTTAGAAAGTGCTTGAAACAGTGAATCCAGCCTGGGTGCCATAGTGGAAGAACTCGCTGTGTAGCCCATTTCTTGTTTGTCTGCCTCAATGGCTACTGACTAAAACAACACAGTTTTTTTCAGTTGACTGTTTTGGACAGCTCTTCCTTTCTGCTGCCCTGCCAGTATCTTTGCTTTTAAACATCATTGTTGTTGTGGTCTGAGAATAATTGGAGCTTTCTTTTTTTTTCCTCTGGTATTAGTGTTTTGTAGTTTCTCTGTGTACGCAGCTGGGAGAGGGGATTAGAGCTGGCATGCCTTTGAGTTGGCTGGCCCACAGCTCCACAAGCTTCCCTACTCATGAGCTTTCCAAGAGGAGAAACCGGGCTTTCCAGTGCATCAGGCATCAGCTGTTCACTGTTTTGAACTGGAACCACTGTGTGTTTGCTACTCAAGCTTTGGTGTTTGTTCCTTGCAAAACCACTCTTTAATCTTCTCCTTCTCTCTGTTTTAATTCTTCTCTTATCTATGGTAGTTGACAGAAGAGTAGGTGGCAGGCTTAGCACAAAGTATTGGCCAATAAACAGCTTTCATGTAAGTTTTTGGGGAAAGTTGCTCACTTTGGATGGCACCACCCTGGCGTATATGTGAGAACCTGGTGTCCTGGGGTACTGGGCTGGGTGGCACTGGATGGTTTAAATAAATTATCTGCTTGAATTAGCCATCCTTCCTCTGCTGTGAGATGGTTTAACCACCCTGTAGCTGCTGTGAGTGGAAGGCCTTCTCCTTGTGATGCTGTGTCTGAGTGTAAATCCTATTGCTGCTTTCTTATGGGCCTTAAATTCCAGGCACAGGTGAGTCTCTGGGGGAAATGGGTCTACAGACAGTAAAGTGCCTGCATAGCTTAGCTCCTGATCACAGAGCTAATCGTGTGTGCCACCTTTGTGGTACCAGCCTGCTTATATGTTACTGATTTGGTTCTTAAAATTTCACATAAAAAGTACACAAATTACGGAAATGTTTCTCCTAAAAAAAGTACCCTTTGCCGTCTCTTATCTTCTGCTTTTAAACCACCTCCTGGATTATCCCAGCAAAGAGGAAGGTAGGCAAAAA